CCTGTGCAATGTTATACAAATGACAAATAATTCGAGAAGACTTGGATGACAAATAAAAAACAATGCAGATTTGGTTTGGCAGTGGAACTGCTTTTCTTAATGCTTGGCCTAATTGAATGTTATATAATTGCATATAATGCTTGAAGAGGCACATCGCATTGAACGCATTCCTCATTTTTAAAAATAAATGTTATCAATGGAAGTTATTAAATGGTATTAAAGTTTTAGTTATCATACAACGCAGTCAGTGTTACTATTTTTGGCATCACCTGCGTATGTCGTCTTTGACGTCATCATTGATACACATGTAACACGATAAGTAAAAACAGCTGGACCCCTTTATCTTCAAACTTGCAAAACTGATCTATATTCATGAAATACAGGTCAAATTTAAAAATCGGGATGATTCGACCTTTTAATCAAAGTTGTGCTTTTTTGTTTTCTTGCATTTCTTCAGTATGTATGCAAGACTGACAAATTATTTCAAGGAAAAAAATACTTATCTTTTGGTTTTCAAACTAACAGAGGTGATCAATGTTACTAAAAAACAAAAATATAACATTGGCATGATCTCATCAATTTCCATAAGTTATGCATGGTACTTTTTTTTATTTTTAAGCATACATGTATATGTAAAACTGGCAATTAATTTCAAGGTAAAAATAAGCTTGCAGAAATGATCAGTATTACAAAGCAAAGGTTGAGGTCAAAAACTAAACTGGTCGATTTGTTGTCCCACCAGCACTGGGGTTACCAATGGGTTTAGTCTCTAACCGCCTAGTCCGCCGACTCCGCCGTATCCGTCACTATTTTACCGTTACCGCTTCTCATCCTAAACTACAAGGACCTCTGTAACCATCTCTTGGGTTTAGGTCACAGATAATCTCAACTCATTCCACGTAAAATTTGGGCTCTGTATGGTCTAGGTGTGGCCGTCGTCGCAATGCACCCTCGTCCTAAATTTGTAAAATTAAATGCTAAATATCACCCACAAATCCTAAATCCTAAAGTAACTTTTTGCAGAAATCAGTCGAGTATGTCTTGAATAAAACAGATCATGTAAACCAAAGCTAACAAGGGCTATATTTTCCTGGTGGGCTTTGTTGCACCTTGTAAGTTTTTATTTCCTTATCAGGCTATGTCAATGAATCTTAACGTTTGTCTTTGTTTGTTGAAAACAATAACGTTAGATATTAATTAAGTTATTATTGTTTCGTTATCATGCTATTGACCATCTTTTGTGTCAATAATCCCTGACTTTTGTCTCGAGTTGTCTAAAACGATAACGTTGGATATTTAATAAGTAATTAAGATCAAACAAAGACCACTTGACTCTGAATCTGCCATTTTTGACGCACAATGTATATTGCCACAGGGGATAACTGCATGATCAGAACACTCGGGTGTCATGGAGAGAGACACTTCGGTGCTAGACGTGTTATTATGTTTTAGACCCCTTTCCCAAACCTACATCGATCTAGCAGGTTCGACCCATCTCCAAGGGGTTTTTCTCGCTAAATTATAATGTGTATGAGAATAGGGTCTAACACTGACCATTGCTGTGGCTTCTAGTGACGCGTCATAATAGTGTCACACGATGGAAAAAATGAACAAAGGTTAAGACCATGCAGTTAACTTTTCTGAAGAGAACCAAAACACTCTGTACATTATTAAAGTTAACTGTAAACAAACGCACTGTTGTTAATGGCAATTAAAATAAAGGCATTCTTCATGCAAGTTCAATCATTTTATGATTATTCTGTGCTTGAGGAGACATCGACCTGTACACTGCAGCACAAGTGGCTCATGAGTCTGTTTTGGGTAAAAGAGATTACAATCGCTAAAAAATTATGCAGATTGAGTTTGTCAAAATATATTTTTCTTCGTACTTGACCTATTGAATGTTTTCTAATTGCATAACTGTACTTGACAAGGCACATCAAATAGATTCATTAATTCTACAGTTTCCAAGTTTTTGTAATCGCGCAACACTGTCAGTATTACTATTATTCATATTTCCATACAACATTTAAATCGAAAAAAGGTTCAGAAGACCCTGACCTTCGATGACTATTAACCTAAAGCAGATTATGAGAACAATTTATAGACAAAATTGCTGCCAACATTTGTCAAGAAGACCAAGTTATCTTAACAGGTCACTGATAAAGAATTAGAGTCAAGTGAGGTGTTGGTATGACTGTCTGTTTACACCGATGAGATACGCCTTAGCAACGTGAAACACAGACCAGAAGAGGTCATGCAGTAACCCTCGTGCTAGTACATTGTAACTACTAAAGACTAGGGTGCTGTTCATGTGCTTGGGACGCAAATTTTGAGTTGAGGGGGGGTTTGGTTCGATGAATATTAATATGAATACTTTCGTTACCCATTTAAGTCAAATTTTATATCCCAAGGTGAATGAAATATAGTTTTATTTAGCATGATCGGTAAAGAACCCTTTTCCCGTGACAAGAGCATGCGGCTTTTAATGCTTCATCAACTCGTATTTTCTGTATTTTTAATGAGATATGAATAAATATGTCACAATTTCGGGCCGTCATTATTCATTTTCTAATACAGTTTATGTTCTTTAATGTGAGGCCAATATGAAAAGGTTTACCCATAGACGCGTGGTACACGTACACTGAAAACCAGGGTATCGTCGTTTAGACGCTGAACTTTACTTACTGTTAATTGAAAAAAATACAATGATTACATATAATTCATAATCAGCAATTGAAAATATATTGCTAGAAATATAAATAGGGCCTACAGAGGACCGGAGGAGATAAGATTGTGCCGCAGTGCGTCATAAGACGTGAAACTTATTTTTAGCTGGAAGAACACTGGAGTGGAGCCGCTAGTAAGTTGTAGTGTTCACAAATATAATTCCCAGACATGTAAATTAATTTGATTAGAGTCGATTGCTTGTGCACTCGAGTCGTTTTATGGCCTTATCATTGTCCGTTTCTCCAACATGCAGTTTTTCCTTTTCCATTACTTGTTCATCATTTCCGTCATTGTCCTCATAGTATCTCTTTTGCTCAATCTTTTCCTTTGCTTGTTCGTCATTTTCTTCGTTGNAAAGGAAAATGTGACATACAATAATTAATGGAAAATTTTATGAATAACAGTCTTAGGGCAATTACAGTAACTAACCTTATTGAAAAAAAAATTCAGTGAGGTGAATCTCTCCATTTTCCTATACAATAATTAACAAAAACAAATAATTATGAAAATCTATACATGGACAACTTACTTATATCATAACAATACCTTATTTTGCAATGAGGTGGGTACCTCCATTTCTCTGTACCTTTCAGGTTAAGTTTTTCAGTTCTTTCTAACACATCAAGGAACTCATCTGTTTTCTTCCCTTGTTTTTCATTTCTGTCTTTATCCTTGTAATAAGCAAGTATATTCAAATTCACCATATCATTGTCCCTTTCCTCAGTACGCAGATCATTCTCTTCCTTCACTTGTTCGTCATTTTCTTCATTGTCCTCATGGTAACACGCATTTTCAATCAGTTTGGCCTTATCATTGTCCATTTCTCCAACATGCAGTTTTTCCTTTTCCATTACTTGTTCATCATTTCTGTCATTTCCGGCATTGTCCTCATAGCATCTCTTTTGTTCAATCTTTTCTTTCACTTGTTCGTCATTTTCTTCGTTGTCCTCATGGTAACACACATTTTCAATCAGTTTGGTTTTATTGGTGGCCATTTTTTCAACACGCAGCATTTCAACATCAGGGGTTTTCATCATCTTATCACAGGGGAACTTCAACATCTCATCATCAGCGGACTTCAACAGTTCAGCATCACTGGGCGACGACCTCTCTTCATCAGGGAACTGCAACATTTCTGTATCTGGGGACTTTAATACATCAGAATCACCACTGGTCATATGGGATTTCAAAATCTCAAATTCGGGAGATTTTGCTTTGTCAGGAACGTCACTGACCACACCATCGTTGCCTCCATCGGGGAGCTGCAACATCTCGGCACCAGGGAATTCTTCTTTTGCAGATTTGTCAGCAACGCCGCTGATCACAACCTCATTGCTCTGGATCCCCTCTCTAACTTCTTTCCCTATTGCTGTCTCTTCATCGCAGCTGTCATCACCCACTGTGGTTCTCTGCCCCACTTCCAGCCGAATGCTGCTTATTATTGCTTCAAAAGATAGTTCGTTTTCGTTGTCATACTCTGTTGTTTCTTCTTTCATTACTTCCCACAGATTTCTTAGGGAATTTGATAGTAAATGTGCATCTCTTTTACTTGTTTCCTGCGTCTTCAGAACACTACTGATTCCACCCAGACAATCTAACAGCCTGCTGTAGATGTCTGGGTCTTCATACTGGTCCTCGTCTTCATATAGCATCTTGACTATAAACTGCCTTTCTGTCTCAGCTGCTTAAGGTGAAACCTGGGAGCTCGCCATTTGTAATAACCGGTCGGTGGTTATACACTTTCTTTGATTTCTTTTTCACCAATAAGTCAACTGAGACAGGCAGGAATAGTTTTCCGTTACATGGTTTATTCAAGCGCCTGAAGACTCAGGTCTCTTCTACCGTATCTATAACTATCTCTCTCTCTCTCAGTCTGTAAGTCCTCTCAGTCTGTAAGTCTCCCCCTCTCTGTGGCTCAGTCACTGCCTTTATACTCTATCTTAATTTGCATTTCAAATTAGCTTTCATAACTGTCATGAAACATGCCATGCCTATGTACATTAACTTAATTGTAGATACATTTAAATTAAATCTTGATTTGCATTTTAAATGAACTTCTCTTAAACTGCCATGCAACATGTCATGTCTAAGTATATTTGAATAATTAAAACGTACAAATATATACATATCTGATGTAAGCAAATTTAGAAGACTCAGTTCTAATTAACGGATCACTACACTATGTTATCATGCCTACACCAAATCTACTTAAACTATTCTATAAATCTTATATACTGAGAAACATTTCAATTGTTAAAGGTGGCATTTCATCATATGTACACATACCATTTAGGTTTGGATCCTACTAGCAACAGCACTCTCAGTGCAATTCTTTTATGAAGGTTCCAGTGTTCTACAGCCACAGCCACCATCAGCCCTCCTACAAACAGCATGTTGGTGTCCTGGAACAACACACTTAGAATTTCAACATTTCAACTTTAATTTGTTTCACTTCATATTTTCTGCAGAAACAGCAGAGCAGAGAGACTTTAGGAAACTTGGTTACTGTCCTCATTGAAATGGTTTTTCAGTCAAAATAGCTACAATAATGTCCTTTTTTTCAATTTACAGGAAGACAAAAAAAAAAAAAAAAAAAAAAAAAAATGGTACCATACAGTTGCTGCTGGGAGAATTCAGTAGATTTATACATACAGTAAAGACTTGAAAATTCAGTCGGTCTTGAAAATGTTGTTGGAAGACAATTTTTTGCTGACATAATTTTTTTTCGCTCTCAAAATTTGTCAAATTTGTAAATAGGCTACTTGATAATTTTGAAAAGTTTGTCACCTAATATTGCCTTGTTGGATACATATGAAATTTTCAGGTTTTTACCATATAAAGGGTACAAAAAGAAAAAGCAATATTTCTCAATTTTAAACATAAGTTTTAAATTGATATTGTTATTTTAGCAGGGGTTCTATAAACTTTGTTCAGACTTATCCAAAATGCTTTCAGCAATGTTTTCAGCTAAAAAATTTATTGAATATTAAGATCTGAAATGTTGAAAACTAAACATATCTGAACAAATTGAATATGTTTAATTCTCTTCTCTGCATTCAGCATTCAATGCAATTTGACTGATTATAAGGATTATCCTTCAAATAACTCATTATAATTGATGATTATTGGTAAAATGTTGTCCATTTTCTTCTTTGTTAAATACTGCCTACATTCCTCAGTGACAAAGACAAGTATTGTACTAAAAGTAATGAAAACATGACCTTGTTTTATTGTGTAGGAAAAAATGCATCAAACTTGAAGCTTTGATGTCTAAAACAAAGAATTACTATAAATCAACAAGCTGATTCTTCTTTTTTTTATTTGTATGTTTATTTCAGAAAAATGTCACGGAATTATAGTAGACAGTTTTTGTCATTTAAAAATCTTTAAGAACTGTGAGTCTTATCCTTTTTTAAGTATAATTTACCTACATAATAATTGCAAAGAGGTCAATAAATTTCAAACATATACAAATACCAATATTGTATCTATAGTGTATTATACATAAAAATCTGATTTAATAATGTTTATTTTAATCATTTAAGTAGTATGGTTTAAACTATTCATTATTGAAGCAAACATTTTATCCTAATTTTTTAATTTTTTTTTCTAATTTTTTTCTGAAACCAAACAAAGAAGGCAAAAAAGAAAAGAAAGAAAGAAAATATGACCACCTATAAGAGGCCAGGTTTACGCTGCAGTAGTTAAACCTGTTTTTAGTTAGTGACACACACTGAAGCAGAACAATAACTTACAAGATCAGGTTAAACCAGTCTAAAACTGCACGCAAAATGAGACAAGATTTTTTATAATTGTACGCAATTACACAATATAAGACTTGAATTTTTTCTCAGTTTTAAATGATATATTTTCATGTGATACTTAAATAATAATTTTAATGGTTTTAAAAAATGATCCCACATCCTTTCCATTGCACTGACAGAATAAAAATTCATACACATGCTAAAAGTGAAAAGGAGAGGCATTTTTTACCTTGAGATAATTTTTGCACAGATCTTTTGAGCCCAGCACTCCCAGTATTGGGAAGAGGACAACAGGCATCAAAGCTGTGGCAGCAAGGGGCAGCACCTCTGTCATCCAGTACACCGCCATAACCAAAACACCAAAGGCACATCTCCCAGCCTGAAGAAAGAGAATAAGTTTTGATAATATAATATTTATACATACACCAACTCTCTCAGTACGTATTCTGCAAAACAATTACTACTCTGACTGTGGAATCATTATGAATGGTTATGTTGTATATATCTATGCATATATTGATAAAAAATAAACTCCTACAATTAATCCACTGTTATGCCTGCATCAAGCTCTTACGACCCGTTTGAGTCCAAATTTTGCGGAGAATCTCATGTGCCATGCAAGTCCTTTATGCGAAATTTCGAGTTCCCACGTATGTAAGCACGTACGGAGGATGTTGAACATTTCCAATAGATTCTACAAATAATCTTCGAACAGCGAGGCCGCAAGCGTAACTTGCTTCCTTCGCAAGGAGTTTGCAAGTGAGACTTGCGTGGTCCAATATGCACGCCGCAAGCAATGAAGGAGAAAGTGCCCTTTGCATGTTGAATACGGCGCATGCCCTCACATCTATAACGAAGTTAGTCGAAAACACGGTGGGACTGCGAGTATAAACGGCGTGCTCACGACGCATGCTCGTGTCTCTACAATTTCGTTGTGTAACAATTTTCAAAAATTTTGAATTTTGCTCAATTCAGATTCTAATATGCATCCAAGAGAGAAGGGAAAGAAGCTTAAAATGCAGAAAAGAAGGTTGAAGGAAGAAGACAGAAAACGAAGATCTTTAGCACTGCTTTTTTATTACTTCATAATTTAACAAATTCATCGTTGCCTGAAGAAAAGACATAGCTGCATTATTTTAGATTAAAACTAACTTTGACTTAAGTAAATAAATAAATAAATAAATAAATAAATAAATAAATAAATAAATAAAAGGGCGTATAATATATATACGCTTACTACAGTAAAACGATATTAATTTTGCAAAAACATTTCTCAAAGTCACAAGGAAGAGCTGTATATATATGCCTACGTACTGTCAAGCTGCACACAAAGTCTGAGATCGACTTCGTGAAATGTTCTTTATTTTCCTCAATATATTTCGAATAAAATGTGTCAATTTTGGGTCCTAAGAGGGTGGTGCATCTTGAAAAAAAAGGCATTATAGAAAGGGTTTTGAATCCCGAATTATGTTTACAAAGCCAAGGGAATCTATGCCTTGGGGGAGTAGTGTTTTTGCGGAGTATTGGTACGCGGGAGTATGAGTGCGGGGGAGTATTGATGCGGGGATGTAAAGAAGCGGGGGAGTATCGGTGCGAGGGAGTATCGGTGCGGGGGAGTATCAGTGCGGGGGTGTAAAGAAGCGGGTGAGTAGCGGTGCGGGGATGTAAAGAAGTGGGGGAGTATCGGTGCGGGGAGGCATAGGCATGTAACCAGGGAATCAGTCTGTGACCTTCAGTGCTCTAGCTAGTACATGTAACTAAGGGCAATCATGTCTAGACGTAACCAAAATTGAGCAACTCACATACCAAGCAGGGCACAGTTTCAAAAAAAAGCTTATGTTGTACAAATCATTGCAGGGAATCTGTGTGGGAGGACCTCCTTTCCACTACTATTAAGGCAATCAAAGGCAATCAGGTCTGAAACCAACCAACATTAATTGAGCATTATACAAATACCAAATAGGGCACAGTTTCAACAAACCTAAATTTATTTGTTATTTAACACAATAAATAATAATATTTTTCTGATTTCATGTACTTATGACCCCTTCAAAATTTTAATTTGGTTATATAGCTGTATATGCATTTTTAAACAAATATTATAAAATTATGATTTGTTATGAATATTCTGACTAGACAAAAATGCTGGTATGTGCAAGCAATAATTCAAAACGTCTCCATACTCAAGGCTCTATATGATCGAATAATAGTGGAAATTGAAAAGACAAGCTTGTCATCTGGCATATTGAAATATATTGTACACCTTTTCACCTGTGAAGATGATTTTCAGTGCACTGGGGCAGAACGAGAGTAAATTTATTTCACAGCTGTGACAGTGAAAAACATATTTAAGGGAGAATATTCATTCATGTCATGCTTTTGACAGGAATATTAAGCATGCCTACACATACAATATGCACCTAATCACCACCCAGGACAAGCATTATATATATACCACATTTTATATGATTATAGGGAGGTCCTAGATCAAGTAAACAACATATATATAATATATATAATCTCGTAGAAATAATAACAGAATTATTTAACATTACAGTTTTCTGCATGTGCTGTAGCAAAAAGACAAAATACTTTATGAGACATTCCCATCATCATCATAGCTGATGCATGACCGGCCGAAAATGTAGGTGAAAACATTTGTAAATTAGAGTACTGTCCTGTTTACCTGTTACTGGCCCATCAACAAACACCTCTATGTAACTGCACTGTACACATATATTACTAGTGGAATGTCAGCCCAACACTCCTAAACTAACAGTTGATATATATTGTTCATGAAGATATACATCATATAGAAAAAGAAAAGATTTCTTCTACAATTTCTTTAACACGTATACACCAACTTAGTTCAACACCTGTGTTCTATATAAATAGTGTAACTGTCCCTGTCTAAACACATCGTACATATTAATACAGTTTATATTGAATGAAAGGCCTAAAATTTAGTGTACTGAATTGATTTTATTCTTACATTTACATATCAGCAATATATTTTCATATCATATGTTATAACGGCGACTTCTCCTGTGATTAATGAAGCCAAATTAATTATCCCAATACATAAACAGTAAATCCATTAAGGAGGCCACATTGATCATATTTAATTTATCGGTGTCAATACTTCTATTCAATATACATTTTAGATATCTCTCACATTGAACCACTATTCAGATTAAAACAGCCACAAACTGTAGCATGCTGTATACCATACTCACCCTCTGAGGTAGACATGACTGCTGTGTGCTATTAGTACCTGCAGTATTCCCCGGCCCAGCACATGTGAAGGGGAAGATCAATACAGCCACCAATGGAGGAGTGAAAACAAGAATGAAAGTATTCTTAAACTTCAGCACTGATCTGGCACAGCTTCTTCTTGATATCACACTAGTCTCCATCTTCAACCATTAAAGTTTTCTGTTATGATTTTCAGCCCAAAGCACACCTTAGCTCTTAGATCCTGCTGCACTCGGCTCCACTTCAACACCTACCTATATGGCCTCAACTAACACACCGTGTGTCGAAACACAATGCAAACAGTTTCAAAACACAAAAGACATTTTTTTTCAGAAATATGCATAAATATATGGCCTGGTAGTATATAATAAAAGGCTTGTTTTATTTTGTGTTAGTTTCTTTGTGTTGATCAAAGAAATTTTTAAAGAGTATGTACTTGTCACAGCCAGTGCAGTGCAAACCATCAAATGTGCTCTGTGTTCATTGTTGTGGTTCTGACCAAAGTAGCGTATAAAGAAAACTCTTATTACCTCATGTTTAACAGAATGCATAGGGAATACAGTGACAAAGAAATGGCTCGTCTTGATAAAGAGTGTAAAAATATTAGACATTCACGCTGATTGAAAGTGCTTCAGTTCTGTTTACTTTAGTGTGAACAATGTAAGTATAAATAGGGATATTTGTACGGAAATTTAATACAGAACTCCACTTGGGCAGCAGCACCTCATTTAATATTTAGAAAAGAAAAATGGCAATGCATTACATAATTTAACAAGTTTACTATTAATAGCAAAGTCGCAGAATAAGAGCATACTCCTAAGAGCACCTTTCAATAAGCCAAAGCATGAAGGAGTTTTAACTTAAAAGTTTCCTGTCACTGTACTTAACGGGTTCCCCTCTTTAATGGAAACACTTTACTTACAGCTTGTTCAATTATTTTTTGGAAACATTTTAAACAAATTTTTTCTTTTATTTTCAATTTGAGATGTGTATCACATGTAAGTATTGCGTCCTGGTCTAGAGTTTACAAAGGACTTCTCGTTCAATTTATTTGTGAATTACCAAATGAACTTGAAATAGTTTTTAAAAATTGCAACATTTTCCACCTCCAATTCCACACACTCCTGGCATAAAATGGTATTCCTTAATTTACCAAACACACAATGACAAAGTATTTGTACGGTAACAAAGCTTTAAATATTAAACCTTGCTTAAGGAGACCTCTGACCTGAGATTTAGGCCCGTATTCAAGAATCTCCCTTTAGCGTTAAGGGAGACTTAAAGTCGACCTTATACGAAATTTGTATTCCAAGACCTTTCTTTATCTCACTTGAAAGGAATCACTTAACAATCATTCTTAGCAAAGGAATCGGTCATTTCTAGAATCTGCCTTTGCTGAAAGATTTCCTTTATTTTCGGCTGAGGATTCCTTAAAATGTAAGGTTGGTCTGGAGTAACTTTTAGTCTTCCTTAAGCAGCCAGCGTGTACATTTCTTTTTCGAAAATCAGCTCCATGGAGGACTAAGTAAACCAACATGCCTACCTAAATTCAAAATCATTAAATTCAACTAGAAAAGCACTACGAGAGCAAAGTCTCCACCCAATTTTTATTCTATAATGATTTTTTTTTTTATTATTTTTGATTATTGATTGGTTATTGATCCGGATCACCACCAAAAACTTATCATCTGTTCCTTGGCCCACTTGTGACAGTTCTTGAAAATTTCATCACAATTGAGCACATAACTTTTTGAGTTATTTTTGATTATTGATTGATTATTGATCTTGATCACCACCAAAAACTAACCACTTCTAAGTTAACCCATTTCTGACCTACCCTGTAAACTTCATAAAAATCGGTCCATAACTTTTTACGTTTTTTTTTATTAATGATAATTGATTGATTATTGATCTGGATCACCACCAAAAACTAATCACTTCTAAAATAACCCATTTCTGACCTACCCTGAAAATTTCATCAAAATCGGCTCGTAACTTTTTGAGTTATGTTGATGACAAACAAACAAACAAACAGACAGACAGATAGACAAACAAACAGGGATGAAAACAACCTCCTTGGCGGAAGTAATACATTAGATCGAGGATAGGCTTTTCTCTGTTGACTAGTTGCATCAGTAGCTGCTTTTTCGATATCAGAAAAGGGTCTATGACTTTGGTTTTATCATCCTCCAAACCATTCTTTTCTCTACTTGCCATTATTGACTGAATTTGGTTTATTCACTGAATTTGGCTTAGATCAAAACATCCACATGCAGTGATAATGTCCATATGCGCTGTTGCATGACTGAAATTGATCAGTTGACCCCAATAATACAACATCAATGAGGTGTTTTTAACGAGGAGGGTGTCACAAAGGCCTGCTCTAACCAATGAGGAGCTCCTTTATGTCAGTGTCCCTTACCTAAAGGCTGACTTTTGTCAAAGTAATTCCTTATCAAAGGAGAGGCTATAGTGTGGTCTTAGAATACCATTCCGTTAGGCCTTCCTTTACCAAGGAACACCTCATCAAAGGAAGCCTTTATAAAAGTTGACCTTAGGCCTATTTTAAGGAACATCTTGGAATACGGGCCTTAGTCTGTAATAGTTCACTTTGAGAGAAGGACAGCTTTATAGTCTGGCTATTACATAAGAGTCACCGTATCCAAGGAGTTCTCTTTACATCTTGTCTGGACAGAGCCTTCAGGCTTGACATGGTGAAATAACAAACATAAAAGCAGGACGCCACCTAGTGGAGAACTAGCAGACCTGGGGAAACCCCCTGTACAAATGGTCTTACTCGCAAAGCCAGAGGACCTGTAAGTATTTTGATATCGCAGGTCCTCCGGCCTGCCAAGCTTTATGGGGAAAATACAATAAAAATGTAATAGTGCAAATGTAAAAATAAGTTTTTCTGAAATTAAATAACCACATGAAGGGCCCATTCCCACAGATATTTGGATCGATCTATCTCCCTGGGAAGTCTCACTAAATTGCTGTCAACTTAACCAGGTTATATGTCTGTCACGCCTAGTAAAGCTGTTAAGGGTAATTATCTTTACCCCTTAGCTGATCCGGTTAGGCGTGACACATTTAAGCAGGTTAAGTTGATAGAGTTAGACCGATCCAGATGGATCAATATAGGCATGGGAACCCAGTCTTATATGCTATTTTTGTTGCATAAAAAATTAAAGAAAACTTAAAAAATAATGATCCAATTTAGGTTTTCATTAGGGAGACCCAGGCATATTTTTGTTGCATAAAAAATTTTTAAAAACTTGAGAAATAATGATCCAATTTAGGTTTTCATTAGGGAGACACAGGCATTATTTATAGCCAGGCAGTGACTTGAGGGGAGGGGGGGTTAACTTATTTGTCATATATTAGTGCACTGCCCTATTGCCGACATCAATAGAGGTCACTAGCATCTCTGACAAAATGGATTCTTTGCTCTCTTTTGACAGCATCCCAAAAATGTTACATTCATGAGCACATGGACCAGCATCACCAGTGCTTTAGCCCCATAATTTGACTAAAATTTTAGACCAAGATTTGATCTACTTCAGTTGAGAAGGCCAAGAAGTCCACATAAATTTATCAAATTAGTCTGATACCTTGACCACATCTTCACTGTCATAAACCAAAGGTAAATTTTTCAACTAATTGAACTATTAGATTGATGTTCCTTAAGTTAAAACAATAGTCAGGGTAGAGCTCTGTTGTGAAGCCAGGCCATTGGTCTTTGTGAAGAGCCAAGAAGGATCAGACTGCATAATTAAAACATCTTAACAATGAGGTTTGGAAATGAACACGAGAGGAGATGTGAAATATGTACTAAATCAAAGTAACTGTATCAATTACCAAGGCTGATGCTTCTTGACCCTTCGTCGATGTGAACTCAGTTTTTGTTCCTTTTTTTTTTTTTTGTTAAATATTGAGAGATTTCCAATACATGCTACTTGGTACTAAAGAAACCAAGAAAAGACTGCAAAAATCATTATTTACATATTTATTTTCTTTTTTCATGATTTTTCAAAGAGTTCAAAAGTTATGACCAATATTTTAAGAAGTCTCAGCAATGGATTCCTCTGTGTGCTTGCCCTTGTCAGCCACCTGCCTGGACCTGGCCTTGCGCTCCAGAATTCTCTTCCTGTCCTTGTCCAGCTTCAGTTTCACAATCACCACCTGTAACCAAAGATGGTCCCAGCCATTAGAAATGTGAATAGAAATATGAAAAGTGTTTTAATAAGTTCACTATACACAGCCTTATATTACAACTGTCCAATAAAATTTACTTCAATTTTAGCCAGAATAGTAAAACAGAGTTTGTGCCTAGCAAATATTTGGCAAAGTAAAAATGTTTTACAGTCCATTTCACTGGGTGGCAAATAAACAAACCGGGTAGATAAAATGTCCTGAATTCTAAACACATTTATTATTCACAAAAATTTAATTAAATTTCACTTTAGGTCTAGCATTTTGCTGTTGAATGTCATGTGACCATTAAAATGAGATTTAGTCATAACTTTCACGTGCATGGACAAAATTAGTGCTAAAATATCAAGTGAAATTTGTTGAATTACATTAGATAATTTATGAATAATTTAAGTCCTTCTCCCATCCCTGAACCACCAGACATCTTCATAATTGTAAACTATGTTTTTTTAGGACAGCACCTAACCTTAGATGGGTGAATGCCGACGTGGACAGTTGCACCATTGGCCTTCTCTCTCTNAGGCCTTGCGCTCCAGAATTCTCTTCCTGTCCTTGTCCAGCTTCAGTTTCACAATCACCACCTGTAACCAAAGATGGTCCCAGCCATTAGAAATGTGAATAGAAATATGAAAAGTGTTTTAATAAGTTCACTATACACAGCCTTATATTACAACTGTCCAATAAAAATTTACTTCAATTTTAGCCAGAATAGTAAAAACAGAGTTTGTGCCTAGCAAATATTTGGCAAAGTAAAAATGTTTTACAGTCCATTTCACTGGGTGGCAAATAAACAAACCGGGTAGATAAAATGTCCTGAATTCTAAACACATTTATTATTCACAAAAATTTAATTAAATTTCACTTTAGGTCTAGCATTTTGCTGTTGAATGTCATGTGACCATTAAAATGAGATTTAGTCATAACTTTCACGTGCATGGACAAAATTAGTGCTAAAATATCAAGTGAAATTTGTTGAATTACATTAGATAATTTATGAATAATTTAAGTCCTTCTCCCATCCCTGAACCACCAGACATCTTCATAATTGTAAACTATGTTTTTTTAGGACAGCACCTAACCTTAGATGGGTGAATGCCGACGTGGACAGTTGCACCATTGGCCTTCTCTCTCTGAATCCTCTCAATGTAGATGACAAATTTCTTACGGTAACACTGGACAACTTTGCCCACTTGCTGCCCCTTGTAATGTCCCCTTACAACCTGGAAGAAATAATGAGAAAATCAATAAACTTAAATTTAAAATAGGAGCACAATTCTTGGAAGACTGTATACCAGGATGTTATAATTGTAGTCTGTACCCTTTAATAATTATGTAGAGGATGTATTACGGACATCTCGCTGTGTACAGATTTCTCTTTCAGAACTTATCATGGAGCAGTTGGGCCCCTGGGCCCATGGTATGTCGGTACGCATTTCACAATCTGTTACGCTCCGCTCTTTTACTCCTTTTCATAAAATTGTTAGGGTGACTCCCGTTAACGCCCAACATAAATACATAATTATTAAACATAGCAAATAATATTACTTTTAAAATATATTGAATTTATAAATTTTGCATGTGTATTACAGTCTGTGTTGCTTCTGGAATGGCATTTTCTTGAATGAATTATGCCAAATAACAGGTTGGTCCCTATGCAAGAATCCTTCCCCTATTGCTCTAGTCTGATAGTCCACGCAATAAATAATAAGTGGAATAATAAGACATGAAGCAAGTTACCCTGCTGTCTTCATTGGAAGTTATATAACTAGACAGCTATTCTGATGTATGATGACACAAGGAATGGAAATTCAAGGTTCACTGCCTTTTATCGTGTTGTGACAGATTGCGCAGGGTAAGGAAATAACCAATATACAAAATCAGACATGCTGAAAACTTTTCAGAAGGGCTGGACATTTAGACCGGCAGTAGTAAAAAAATTTGCCGGATTGTATGGATTTTTGCCAGACCAAAAATCACCCTTTTTTGTTTGAGACGGATACTACGATTAGGTAGCTTACTTTGTTTGTCAATGTGATCAGTTAGAAATGGAAGGGGAAAACGATTTGGGTTTTATATTAGTGAAGTATGTCTAATGATGACTGTAAATTCAAAATGTCAGCTCTTAAAACTCTTCTCGGTCCCTTGGACTGACCACCTCCAATTTTTTACCTGTCCAGACAAATTTTGTCCGTCATGACCGATCGGACAGACAGTTTCAGCATGTCTGCTAAATTGTCTGCAGACAGCAAATACAAAGAGCTAGTGTTCAGTTTTTAACACTTGATGTGACATGATATCAACATCCACAGATAGAATTGCAAAGTAATCTTAACTAACACACTACTTCCAAGTTTTAAACTCATCACATTCTATCCCTTTTAACAAAGAAAAAATGGTACATAGCAGTTTCACATCATAAAAATATATGGCATTATTTAACATTTCTGGTTTTTGCCTTTCTTTGAAATATCAGATAATGATTAAAGTACAGACATTAGCATTTTCCTTTTTTAAGGTTAGGTATACTACCTGCATTTGAAAATGTCCTAAAGTCATATGTTCTATGTTGACATATCTTGCACACCTTCTTATCTTTCACAAGTCAGACCTTAAAAACCATTAAACCCCTCAAATAAAAAGTACCTGATGTAAATATTTTCTTCTAACATGTTCAGGAAGTCAAATCATTTAATTAGAAATTAATATAAAATATCAAATCCCAGTGAATTCATAGGTTGAGCAAAATTTGAGAGTTGGGTGAAAATTGCTCTTTTTTTCAAGGATAATTCTGATTTGGCAGAGCTTCTTTTAACCTAATGAATTATTTTAAAATTGGTAATTTTTCAAAACTTTTGTGACTGGGCAATTTTTACTGTGAACTGGCCATTTGTTGCAGAAACACAGCTCATCACTCAGATGGTGATGACAAAAGCAGACAATACACAAGGCAATCCATACAATATACTTCAATACAGACAGAATGCAATGGTCCTCAACCTTTCCAAATAAAGTCACAGGGAGTGACACATAAGTTTAATTCAACGCATGATATTTATTTATTGGGTATTTTAATATATTCAGTCTATTTTACTTAAGGCAAAATAACTTCACTAGAAACAAGCAACTGACTCCATCTTGCACTTCGTTCTCAGACAGAGAGATGTCGTCAATGAAGTTATATTTCTTACCGTAACTTCGTCGTCTTTTCTGATGGGGATGCTTCTCACGTTGTACTTCTGCCTCAATTCTTTAGACAAGGGGGCACTCATGATCTTCCTACGGATATGAGACGGTGCATTGAAGTGCCTCTTGCGGTTCTTCCTCCGCGAGGAGGTGACCATCTTATTGAACTTCATTTTGTGAGCTGAAATATTATGATAAGGAATCAAGGATATTTAAGAACCATCTACAATATAAGGTTTGCGTGAGAGGCAATGTAAAGAAGCCGGGGACTAAGGCAACATATCTCTGTAACAGGAGTTAGGTCTGCAGTGAAATTTCATCAGATATATAGCTTTATTAATTCTGATTAAAATAAGTTCTGAAAATGTGGCAGATGTCTTTCCATTCGGCAAGATTTCAATCGATGCATGTCCTATACATATGAATTTGCCTACCTCCAAGATGGCTACACAGGAAAAGGCAGACCACAGGGCATTGTGGGAATTTTTCATCTAAACGACCTTGACAGAAACATCAACAAGGTTACGGTATTCTACACATGGCAGAATGTTTACTTCGCTTGTAAGTGTTTTTTTCCCTTGTCTGATAAGAAGTTAACCTGAGCAAAATTAAGGTGTTTTTCCTAACACAACAACTTTGTTCCTAGCATTTTGAACATATAGTTTATAACTGCTTGACATAAAGGGGAGAAAATAAAGATAAAGTCAAAGGCCTCGGTCCACACAGTCACAGTGTAATGAGACACTTATGTAATGACATCTTTTTGTAACGCGCAAAATGCAATCCGCAATTCCATGGTTCGTGTCAGATTTACGTAAAATAGCTCCAAGAAACCCCAAGGACACATAATGACCAGTTTAACTGTTTATTTGATGGCGCTTGCTATCTACATATGATCTACATCTCAACTTCCAAACCATCTCGTTTGGCTTGCGGCCGACCCCCTCAATCGGCAATCCTCATCTGACTCTGCAACCTCCATAGACATCCGTGTAGTTCCGAGTGCGTCCTCCTAGCTCTCCGAAACGGTCTCCCTTAATCTCCTCTCATCGAAATCCCCAATATTACTTCTGAGCGTCTTATATACTTGCGATTCAATGCTTCCAAATGTTACATTCTTCGTGTTTGCCAGAAATCTTCATTCTTTTACCAACTGGATAACACGGTACTCAAAAATGTCCAGACTAATCCATACTTAGGAGTCATGCTTTCTTCTGACCTGAAATGCCTTATGGCCACCCTGAGCTTCAGAGCTAACTTGACACTAACCTTTTCACTGTAGCCTATCTCCATCGTGTCAAGTAACCTCTGACGAAAATAGTTTGACCTAGTTTATATAAGCCAATCGAATCCATGTTTCAAAATTTTTCACCAAAGTTTGGTGAAAACGCTGATTGGTTGATCGTCAATCGGCAATCCTCGGCTGATTCCGCAAGCTCCATACTAACAACATAGTTATTGTCGAGTGCTGAGACATCCGAGTAGTTCCGAGTG